TTGATTGATTTTCAAGTTTGCCCCCAAAGGATTTTGAAGGGCTTGGTGAGTTTTGACAAATACAGGCACCCCACACCCCATAGTCCTGTGCACATGGAGAGCAAGTCCACCCCTGCAGAAGTGCCCACGTTTCCCTCCCATGAGCCCCCTGCCCCAAACCTTCAGGAGACCACTCTTCCCTGTGTGTTCCTGGCTCGCTTTAAAGCTTTGTATAAATGAAATCATTTCCATTTGCTAAGATCCACAGTTCTAATTCCTTTCACTGAGATTAAGCAAAGGATCATATCATGTTTTAGTAGAAAATCCAGATTTTTTTTTTCTGAGACAGGGTTTCTCTGTGTAGCCCCGGGTGTCCTGGAACTAGCTCATTAGACAAGGCTGGTCTTGAACTCACAGAGATCCGCCTACCTCTGCCTCCTGAGTGCTGGGATTAAAGGCATGTGCCACCACTGCCCAACTGAAAACCCAGATTTTCAATCTGCATTTAAAATTTTCATTTTACATATACATATTTATTTACGTGTGTGTGTGTGTGTGTGTGTGTGTGTCCTGTATATAGAGATCAGAGAACAGCCTCTGGGTGTTGGAACTCAGGTCACCATGCTTGGCTTCCCACTGCAGGCTTCAGGGCCCTCTCCCGGACTCCAGCCATCATCACCTTGGTGGTCTTGCTTGTGAGCGTCGTGGTGCTGGTGACACTCACACTCATCCAGATCCATCACCCTCAGGTCCTCCCTCCGGGGCTGAAGGTAAGCCAGAGTGGGCCACAGCATCAACCAGGCAGAACGGGCCACAGCATCAGTCATCCTAAAACCATAACTTAAAGGGGAACTCTCTTTCCCTGCCTCCAGCTGGAGAAAGCAACATGAGACCCACGGAGAAGGTCTGAGGGTACTAGGCTTATGATGTTCAGGGTGCAGACTGAGGAGTGACACTTTTTCCAGGGACTGGGTGGCCTTGCTTTGACTTCTACTATAGGATAAAAAGATAGAATGTGTACCCAAGAATTGCAGGTGTACAGTGCCTGCTCTTACCAGTCAATCAGTTTCTGGGAAGCATGCAGTCTGATCATGAGTGAACAGCAGGCTCCTGGTTTTAAGGGTGTTGAGAAATCTCTTTGAGCCGTATTTGTGCCATTTCTCTTAGGTCTAAGACATGTGTATGGCCCCTCCAGTCCCATCAGGACTGTATGTAGGTCCAGTGACCTCTCTGAGTTCATCCCCAAATGGCCTGGTGCTTGACTGCTGGCCTTCACTCTGGGGAGATGGATGGTAGGTAGGGTAGGGGGTGGGCCTTGAAATGAAGAGTGATGAGGAGCGATGATTCAGGGAGCCCTGCAGTCATTTTGGGAATCCGTCAGCAAACATTTTATGTAATACCCCAAACAGTAATATTTTAGGCTCTGAAGGCCACTTAGTGTCTCTGCTGCATGCTGTTGTTAGGTTTGGGGATCATTAAAAATGTATGATGTCTTCTTAGCTGGAAAAGGCTCCATCAGGGAGCCAAGTCACTCAGCTGCGTTATCTGACTCTCCTTTAGTAGTTACACTTGCTCTCATTGTTTTCTCCATCATCTGCCACCAGGAACTGCTCGAAGGTTGTATTTGGAGCAGACAGATTCAGAACATAAGGAAGTAATATTACCTGGGGTTCCATGAGCAGCCTTGCCTGGTATTTGGGTGGGTTAGAGTAAGATCTTTTCCTTGTGGTGGTTTTTTGTTGGTTTGTTTGTTGAGACAGGGTCTCTTACATAGCCCTGGCTGTCCTGGAACTTACTATGCAGACCAGGCTGGCCTAGAACTCACAGACATCCACCTGTCTCTGCCTCCCTAGTGCTGGAATTAAAGGTGTGGAATATTTTACTTAAGAATCTCAGTGGTTGCCAGGTGGTGGTGACGCATACCTTTAATCCCAGCACTCGGGAGGCAAAGGCAGGCAAATATCTGTGGGTTCAAGGACAGCCTGGTCTACAAAGTGAGTTCCAGGACAGTCAGAGATGTTAACACAGAGAAACCATGTTTTGAAAAACAAAACAACAACAACAACAACAAAAATCTCGGTGGCCAAAGAGATAGTTCAGTGATAAAAAGGGCTTTGCTGCTCTTGCAGAGGACCTGAGCTCAGTTCCCAGAGCCCATGTTGAGCCACCTACAACCTCCTGTACCTTCAGGAGATCTGATGCCCTCTTCTGGCCTGCAGGGGTACCTGTACTTACACGCACATACCTACACACAGATATACACATATACATGTAATTAAAAATAAAATAAAATGTTTAAAGGAACTCTCAGTCCTTATGAAGAATGTAAAGGGGAAAAAATGTTTAACCTGTGAGGAGAGAAAAGCAAATGGTCCTGCCCAAGGCATCAGCTGAGGCAAGAGAAGCTTTTTTTCCATGGTTCGGGCTCTGCCTTTTTCTACAAACTATGAAAAATCAGGACTGCAACAAAGATCATACCTTGTCTTCACACTTCTTATACTGCTGCTTGTTCGAGTGAGCACCACCTCACACAGGGCAATTTGTCTTTCTTAACCTCATGCCGACCGCGGAGGTGGCAGTGCCAACACTGGCTGACCACCATTTTGCAAAGAGGCAGACATTTGTCTAGTGAGTCGCAAGACCGGAACTGAAATCAGCCCTCGCTTCTCACGGCTTAGGCTCTCTTCCCTCCTCCTGCTTCCCCTGCCCTGAATGGAGTCCAGGAGGAGAATCTCTGTGGGAGCTGTCCTGGTTTGCTTTCTGTTGCCATGATAACGAAACCATAACCAAGAGCAGCGTGCGGGGAGGAGTGGTATTTCAGCTTACAGTCTATCCTAAAGGGAAATCAGGGAGGAGCTCAAGGCGGGACCCTGGAGGCAGGAACTGAAGCAGAAGCCGTGGAGGAGTGCTGCCTACTGACTGACTTGCTCCCCAGGGTTTGCTCAGTTTGTTTCCTTACGCCCCAGGACCATCTGCCTAGGCTTAGCACCTCCCACAGTGGGCTGGGCCCTCGGACATCAAGAAAACAACCAAGAATCAAGAAAACGCTCAACACACGTGCCCACAGACTAGTCGGTTCCTTCTTCTCAGATGGCGCCAGCTTGAGTCAAGTTGACAACCAAGCCAACCAGCACAGGAGCATGGGGAGGGGCGCCCTGATGCAGGAAGCCCTGTCCATATGGGGGATGTGGGGGATGGGAGGGAAGACCGGGACCACCTTAGAATGCTGTAACTGTAGCCACATACCTGGGCCCACATTTCAAAAGGACCAGCTCTAACTGGACTTCGTGTTAGGATCTCTCCACAGGACATGCCTACCCTGAGCCTGTGCTCCCTCTTCTAGAATGTGCTATGGTGACTGGATCCTTAAGTCAGGGTCTCTTAACTGCTGGTCTGGGAGGTGGCCTCTAGGTAGCTGCTTGTAGGAGTTAGAGCTAAAACTTCCTGTCAGCTAGTGACAGGGCGCTCTTGTGACATTGTCGGGTGGTTTGACAGAAAATGGCCCCCAGAGGGTGTGACACTATCAGGAGGTGTGGCCTTGCTGGAGGAAGTGCGTCACTGTGGAGGTCGGCTTTGAGGTCTCGTATATGCTCAAACCACGCCCAGTGAGACAGATCACTTCCTGTTGCTTGCAAGCCAAGATATAAGACCACATGCCACCATGTCACACTATGGTGATAATAGACTAAACCTCTGAAAATAGAAGCCACCCCAGTTATAGTTTCTCTGTAAGAGTTGTCGTGGTCATGGTGTCTCTACAGCGATAGAAACCCTAACTGAGACAGACGTCGTGGTACAGTGTTCATTACTGTACTCATTACGCATGTGTTTGCGGTGATGCCGGTGCCAGGAAACCCACGGTGCTGCCAGCTGAGTAAAAGGACAGCGTGATGCATGCTGGCACCAACAGAGGTCTGTGGCTGGCTTGCGTAGTGTCACACTGTACTTTATATCCTTATGAAGCGTGTCATTACTATTTACTAAACAGCTGGTAAGATTGCATGTACCTATAATCCCAGCACTCACAAGCCAAGCTGGCCTGGGCTAGAGAGAGAGAGGAGAGAGAGAAGAGAGAGAGAGAGAGAGCCAGCCTTTCAATTCTTTTGGAATAGCTGCTGGCCCTGGCCACAGTCGCAGGGCACAGGAAGTTGCCTGGTTTGGATGGTCCATTTTGCTTGAGTGGGCGGATGAAATGTGAGAAGAGACAGATGCTCTGGGCAGAAGCAGGGCAGGTGACTGACAGCTGGCAGAGCGAGTCCCACTTGCAGCTTTGCTTAGGTTTGCGAGACCTCTGTGTTTTCCGTGGTATGGCAGGGTAGGGCAGAGCGCTGCAGGGGTGTAGCTGAATGACTGTGAGGGCGCTATGGCTTTGCTGGTGTTTTGCGTCTGTGCAGCTGGCTGTGGGCTATGTGGGGGATGTCCTGTAACCAGCTTCGCCTGTGCCCCAAGCGTTTGCTGCCCCCAGGAAAGGGTATGAATGACACCTGCTCCTAAATGCAGCCTTGACTTGCCTGACCTTGACTGAGGCAAGTTTAAGAGCAGAAGCATTAAAGGAAAACTCAATCTAGGGTCAGAAATGTCCCCAGGTCCTTGTGTGGCTGGTCTGACCTGCTCGGCAAGCTTGAGGAGTAAACATGATGACCTCACTCTCATTTTTCACCCGGGCCCCCACCTGCCTTATCACCACAAAGTCCCAAATCTTCCCTTTGAGGGTTTTCTCACCCTCCCTCTCTCCCATCATGGCCATCCATGTTTGAGGTTTCTCTGTCTGTTCCCAATACCCCAGTGCCACTCTCTGGTTTTAGCCACTGGTTGTCACCGTCGAAGAGGGTCCTGAAGAGTCTTAAGGGTTCAGGGATTGACTTTCCCTCAGAGCTGCTCGGGCCACGGCCTCATTAGCCGAGGAGAAGATCACGGCTTCTTGGTTCTCATGCCCATGTTCTACTGATGTTCTCTGAAGTACAGTCACTGAGCAGGCTGGGTGAAAGTCTCCCCACTAGCCCTCAGGGAGCCTTGCTCAGTCTCCTGGATTTCTGGTACCTTGTGGCCCATGCTATTCTGGTTTTGAGGCAGCAGGAAGTGTCTAAATGGTTCCTCCAGACACACGCTGGTTTTCCTTGCCTGGAGCCAGCTTTGCTCCTGGGGTGTAGGCTGAAGGATCTTCTGTCCAACAAAGGCAGTATATTGATCACAGCACATTAGGCCTGTTGTTATTCCACGGCTGTCTCATCAAACTTGATTTCCTGGGACTCTGAAAGCCTGGGGACTCTGAGTACTGACGGGTCTGAGAGTTGCTGCGGCTTAATCCCCGGTCTGTTCTCATGTCAGAGAAGATGATTAATACTAGCCGTACGAAGGCAATAAGGCTTACTGATACACCAGTTAAAGTTAGTTCTCTGCTCAGAAGTCTGTTACTGTGCCCTCCTCTGAGAGTGCTAGTAACAAATCTAAGACGGCTGACCTCACGACCCGTGACCTATCACCTCTGCTTCTGCTTTCAGCAGAAGATCGCGCAGTATTCAAATGTTGACCTCGGGCTTTAGTGTGGAAGCCTGTTCCAGCTAGGCTGTGGTAGCCCATGCCTTTCATCCTAGCACTTAGCAGGCAGAGGCAGATCTCTGAGTTGAGACTAGCCTAGCCTGGTCTACAGAGCGAGTTACAGGTTGGCCAGGGCTACACAGAGAAACTGTCTTGAAAAAACAAAACAAAACAAACAAACAGAAAAACAAAACAAAAGAAGAAAAAGTAGAAGAAGACTGTTCTCTGTTCTTTGTTTGTATGTTTGTTTGTTTGTTTGTTTGTGAGATAGGGTTTCTCTGTGTAGTCTTGGCTGGTCTGGAACTCACTCTGTAGACCAGGCTGCCTCCAGACTCACAATGATTGGCCTGCCTCCTGTCTCCTGAGTGCTGGAGTGGAGGGCATATATTGCCATGCCTTGAGAAACACACTGGATGTGTCATCAGAACCACATTCAAGCCATGCTTCTTTTTTGACAGCACACTGCCCATAAATAACCCATCACCTCCTAGTTGAGTTGAGAAAATATTTCCCTCCCACCCCCTTATCATCAGAGCATCCACAGTGGGTCCAGTGATTTAAGCAAATAATCTCTAAATATGGGTTAAAATATTTTTCCACTTTGTGGATGTGGGCACCTGGGGAGATGGCTGGGGGGTGGGGGTGGGGAGGCGTTGCTTGTACAACAGTGAAGACGAGGTGTGGTGGCATCTGCCCCAGTTCTGGCCCTGGGAGGTGGAGATGGCCAGCTAGTCTTGGCAGTTGGTGAGTGTCAGGTACAATGAGAAACCTTAGCCCAAAAGACAAGGTGGAGCTGCTGGAGAGAGGGCTCAGCACTTCAGAGCACTGGCTGTTCTTCTTCCAAAGGGTTCTGTTCAGTCCCAGCACCCACATGGCAGCTCACAGCCATCTGTGACTCAGGGAATCTGATGCCCTCTTTTGACTTCCTGTGTGAACCATGTACCAGGCATGCACATGGTACACACAGACATATAGGCAAAACACCCATACACATAAAATAAAAATAAGTAGATCTTAAAAAAATAAGGTGAAGAGTAATAGAGTAAGACCCCCAATGTCAGCCTCTGGCCACCACATATGTTCACCATCCACACATATGCACAGACACCACATATGCCAATGAGGTGTCGGTGTTAGACGTGGAGCTGGGTCCTGGTCCCCCACCAGCAGGTGCTGGGTGTCCAGGCACTGTTAGAAGCCCAGTACCAGTTGGAGTTACAAAGAGTGGATACTCTACCTTCCTTCCAATCTCATCCTAGGATCAGTCCTGAGGCGTCACACTCTGGGAATGCACGCTTCCTTTTCGAAGGTTTGAAAACGGACTTGGGGAATGGCAGATTCCTCTCAGTCTCTCCCTACTCCCCCCCCACCCCATGGGTTGGCACCAGGCATGGCAGGGGCAATGACAGGGGTGGTGATCAGTTCCTCTGTAGGGGGAGGGGGGGAAATCGGGCTGATCCTCCAGAGGCCTTGGCCTCTTCAGTGCCTGGCTTCAGTTTCTACCTGCCCTTTAATCTCACTGGGAGTCTCTGCCTGGGACAGATCTGAACAAAGCCTGCCTTGTTTGCCCCGGGAATGTCCTGTCAGGATCCCTATCAGATTCATCAGGCTGAAGGGCTGAGATTAAGGAGCTGTCCGAGAGCCAACAGCACTGATTTTCTAGTTCAGTAGAATAGAGAGGTGTGACCCAGGAGCTGGGGCAGTTGCTCATGATAGAAGAGAACTGGAACGCTCCTGCAGGCCTAGACCAGAGAGGTGCTTATGTCAATCATTCTGTAGTTCACAAAGACATGATGGAACTATTCAAAGTGGTTTACTGAAGGGAGGATTCCATGGAGACTTGTTAAGGAAGACCATTAAACACATAAATCCTGTGTACAAATGTACAGTATAATCCCATGCTGGTTTAGAAATGTAACTGGGCTGGAGAGATGGACTGGTTAAGAGCACTGGCTGCTCTTGCAGAGGACTTTGGTTCAGTTCCTAGCACCCACATGCTGGCTCACACTATCTGTAACTCACCTTCAGGGGACCTGACACCCTTTTCTGGTCTCCATGGGCACTAGGAGTGCATGTGGTACACATACATGCAGGCAAATACTCATATAGAAGATAAAAATAATCTTTACACACACACACACACACACACACACACACACACACACACACACACACATAAATAACTGTTGCTAGGTGGCACCCCCGTGCAGTCCTGGCACAGAGGAGGCTGAGGCAAGAGAGTTAAGAGCTTTTCTTTTTTTCTCTTTTGATTTTTCCAGACAGGGTTTCTCTGTGTTGCTTTGGAGCCTGTCCTGGAACTCACTCTGTAGCCTGGGCTGGGCTTGAACTCACAGAGATCCGCCTGCCTCTGCCTCCTGAGTTCTGGGATCAAAGGTGTGTGCCACCAGCTCCCGGGGATGTGCAACAATCTTATCTCAGCCTTCCAGATATTGAGATTACAAGCATTGGCCACTACACTTAGCTGAGAGTGATCTTTTTATTTTTTATGTGTTTATTCTTCAGACACAGGGTCTCATGTAGCCCAGACTGGCCTCATACTTGCTGTGTAGCCAAGGATAACCTTGAACTCCTGACCTTCCTGTCTCAGCTTTCCTAGCTGATGAGATTACCGACAATACTACCATACTCAGCAATTATGGCCTTTTAAAACAAGCAGCCACTTAACACTGGGCATATGGTTTCCTGTTTACCTCTGCAGTAAGTCACCTGAGATGAGGGAACCCCAGGAGGTTAACTACCTCCCAGCATTGTGAGACTGGAGAACCCGGTTAGAGCATCCTGTCTGGGATCCAGCTTCATCTTCTCCCATAGGTCAAGAAAAGCTAGACTAAAAGTCAAGGAATAGGAGAAAGGGTGCCCCCTGAAGCCCCCTGGGTGCCCCCAGCTGACTCTGGCCTTGGGCCAGCATCCCTAGTTCCACACCTAACATGCATTGATAGTCCAGTATGTCTGGGTTGAGTGGCTGGACTTGCAGGTATAGCTCCCTGGTGCCAGCCCACTTGTTCACACCTGTGTTAGCACAGGGGGAGCAGCTGCCAACATGACATTGCTCTTTTGCCCTTAATCGTGCGTACTTCTCCTTCGGAGGGCTGATGGGAATCCTAACATGGCTCTTCCTTGTGTGAAGTTCCTATGGTGTCTTCCCACAATTTCTTTTGGTTGTTTATCTCCACAGTAAGCCTGGACATTCACTGAGACCCAGTGTTATCCCTGGGTCTGGATGGAGCCGGGATCTGGGTGCTCACTAACTGTTTACCAGCTCCTTCACAATCGCTTCTCAATCATCTACATATTAGAATTACCTGGGGAGGAGTTGCTGTGCCTATTCTTAGAAATTCAGACTTAATTGGTCTGGTGTGGAGCCTCAGCACTGGGCATTTTAAGCTCCCTCCCTCCCCAGGGGAGTCCCAAGCATGACCAAGACTGAGAGCCTACCTACCTCATCTCACCCCTTCCCCAGAGTCCAGGGAGCTGCAGCTGATTTGGAGACAAATAGTTCTCTCGTCTTGATCTGCCCCTACCTAAATGAAAATGTGCATTAATATGGCCAGGGTTCTCTGTAGGTGGAAGTTTCCTGTCCCAACCACCTGCTCCCCATCCTGGCAGCTGCTTCCCAAGTACTTGGCTCAGAGTCTTAATATTACTTATAAATGCTCGACCAGTAGCTCAGGCTTGTTACTATCTAGCTCTTATGCTTAAATTAACACATAATTCTTATGTATGTTTAGCCACGTGACTTGGTACCTTTTCTCAGTGCAACATTCTCATCTTGCTTCCTCTGTGTCTGGCTGGTGACTCCTGACTCCACCCTTCCTCTTCCCAGAATTCTCCTAGTCTGCTCATCCCACCTATACTTCCTGCCTGGCTACTGGCCAATCAGCATTTTATTAAACCAATTCTAGTGACAAATCTTTACAGTGTACAGGAGAGTCATTCCACAGCAGCTCCCCTTTCTGTTATTTTGCTAAATGGACATAGTGTCAAGCTGCCTTCAACATACATCTGTGCTCATAGGTGAGCACAGCTCTCAGTCCTTCTCTGGGAAGCTTCTTTCGTGGTGGACAGCTATCAATACAGAGGTCCACAGCTGGTCAGAGTGCAGAGGATGAGTAACCACAGAGTACTCAGCCCTAAATGAGACATCTGTATCAAACCCCTTCCCAACATAGCTCGGGAAACATTGCAGAAGAGGGGGTGGAAGACTGTAAGAGCCAGAGCCGGGCGGACTGCTGCAGAGAAATGGTGTCATCTGGGCACATCAGAGCATTGCACTCATGAGCTCACGGTGGCTGCGGCTGCCAGCACATGCCACATACAAGCTGGTCAGCATCCAACATAGATGAAGGGAAGGTTCCAGGGCTCCACCCTAGCTGAGGAGCTATGGACAGGTGACCACTGCCGGGAAGAGAGGGTCAGTTTTCTTAGGTGAGTGGCCCCTGGCAGGAAGCCTGTGGTGCAGTAGCTGGCCATACACCTACACACAAGGATGACACTGGACTCGGTGGGCTATGAAAAGACAGAATTACGGGGCAGGGGCATAATGGGGGAAGAGCTGGAGAGGGAATTGGGAGTTGATATGACCAAAATAATTTCATGCGTGTATGAAATTCTCCAAGAATAAGTTAATTGACATCTGAGTGCTCATCTCAGTGGTCCACAGTGAGATGAGCACTTGGAAGGGCCCAGCCTGCTTCCAACTCTTTTCCTCTTCCCTTCAGTATGGAATTGTGCTGGATGCTGGATCTTCCAGAACCACTGTCTACGTGTATCAGTGGCCAGCAGAAAAGGAGAACAACACAGGAGTGGTCAGCCAAACCTTCAGATGCAATGTGAAAGGTAAAGGGGGCAGGGAGGCCTGGGCTGGGGTCAGGAGAGCCTGAAGTGCCGCGTGCTGCCCATCTGTGGAGCCAGCTTGGTTTAGTCCCTTCCATCCCAGCCCTCCCCCTTGGGGGGATGTGAGGGGCAGTGAAGGGGCTGAGATTTCCCCGCTGCAGCATTCTCCTAGGTGATGATGGGAATCATGAAACTTGTGTGTGAGAAATGAAGGGCCTGCTCCATGCAGTGAGAGCAGCAGGCAAGGGTTCAACATTTTCTTGTGCAAATTTCCCAGCTCCCAGTTTGCACGGGATGATGTGAGAAAGCCAGGTGGTACGTGCTTGTAGAGTAGGCAGTGCTGTAGGAGAGGAATACACACAGCACATACACCAAGACAGACAGACAACACACACACACACACACACACACACACAAGAATGGAATGCTGGGAACCAGGCCATTCAGGGTGGCTTTCCCATAGCAGCCAGAGCTACAGACACTTAAGTGGAGACCACCAACAGAGGCAGGAGTTGATACCCACTGAGGCTGCCCGGAGGGTCTAGACCTCTGGGATGTGCTTGGGTTCACCATCCCTGTGGCTGGCCACCACTCTGAGAAAACAGAAACCCACATTAGTGCTGGAGAAGCCACGTGTCCTCGAGGGTGTGACAGCTACCAAACTTCTAGTATGTCATTTCAGCTGGAGTTTGCGGCCTCTGATCCCTCAAGAGTATATATGGATTCCTGAGGCAACGTCAATCAAAAGAAGGATGGTTCATTTCTGGGTGTTCTGAGGGTTCTGTGAATCCATCTTGGCCCTTAGTCACAGACAGCATCCAGACTGCCAAGAGCTCCTTCCACCAAGGGGCAGCTAGTGTGTGAGTGCAGAGGCGTGCACGTATACATGACTATGGTGGCTGGAGGACCCCCTTGGTTACCAGTCCTCAAGTACCATCCACCTAGGGTTTTTAATTTTTCTTTTTTCTTTTCTTCTCTTCCTCTATCTCTCCTTCCCTTCCTCCCTCTCTCCTTCCCTTCCTCCCTCCCTCCCTCCCTCTCTTTCCAGTCTTTCTTTCTTTTTTTTTTTTGAGGTAGGATCTCTTACGGAGTCCAGTGTCATCCTTGTATGTAGGTATAGGGCCATCTACTGCACCACAAGCATCCTGCCAGGGGCCACTCTCCTAAGTCCCCCCCCCCACACCCCCTTCCCCACGCTGGGATTACAAGCACATACCATCACACTCAGTTTTTTACTTGAGTTCTGGAGGACAGAACTCAGGTGCTTGTGTTTACATTGCAAGTACTTTATCACAAACCATCTCCCCATCCCCTGACTTTTTATTTAAAAGTCTTTTTTACTGTTGTTTGTTCTAAGGAAAGCTAGTGAGTTCTGACTGCTTGCTCTTCAGGATCTGGAATCTCCAGCTATGAGAAGAATCCCCAAGATGCCCCCAAGGCCTTTGAGGAATGCATGTTAAAGGTCAAGGAACAGGTCCCGGAGCACCTCCATGGATCCACCCGCATTTACCTGGGAGCCACAGCTGGGATGCGCTTGCTGAGGTAAGGACCAAAGGCACAAAGCAGCCCATGTGACCAAAACAGCCAAGCATGTCACTCTGTTTCTGGGAGCAAGTCCAAGAGAAAAAAGCCCATATTCTGCTGTAAGTTTAGGCTTTGATGGCTGGGAAACTTTTAGCCATTATTTTCACAGCAAGAAAGAAACACTTCTAAAATTGGGTTCCTTCTCCGTGGGGATTTTACCAAGAAGTCTAGAAAAGGTCAGATTGGCATGACATCGGATCACTGGGTATCCTGTACTTCCTTGGAGAATAGTTATTGTTTTTGGCATGGGTAAACAGTCAGTTAAATTCTGTGGTAAGCTCAGCCCTTAGCCACGTAGGCTCTGCCTTGTGCAGAATGTTCCAGAGACCTTTGTAAGATAATGCAATGTCTACTCCTCACCCAGGGCAAAGCCTTTGGAGTTTTTATGGAACAAACATCTCATTCCATCCATTCTGTTCCTGTTGAGCCTGTAGAACATGACATTGATCCTAGGGACATATAATATTTGTGTGTGTGTGTGTGTGTGTGTGTGTGTGTGTGTGTGTGTGTGAATATATATAGTCTTTGTTTTGTTAAGATAGAGTTTCACACTGTTGTCCATGTTAGTCTGCAACTTACTATGTAGCCCAGGCTGTCCTTGAACTTACAGCCATCCTCCTGCCTCTGCAAATTATAGGTCACCATGCCAAGTTTAATGTCTTTTTTCTTTTTCTTTTTGTTTTGTTTTGTTTTCTTGTGGTGAGCATTGAACCCAGGACCTCCCACATGCTAGGCAAGTGCTCTACCAGTGAGCTACATCTCCAGCTGTCTCCATTTCTTCATTGTAGTAGTACTTTGACCTTGAAATAGAAATCGAATTTTTAAAATAACTCCAGAAAAAAAAAATTGAAATGTAATCTGTCCAGGGTACAAGCTGCTCAGGGTGTTGGAAGTAAGGTCTCCTGCTCATGATCCCAGCAGGAGAAAGGACCAGGCAAGCCTGGCACTTTAACACCAACATGTAAAGAGCATCTGCTGCTGGGTAGGACCTTCTGGATGTTTCTTTATCCTTACCATTGCCTAAAGCAACCAGGCCTTTTCTTCCTTCCCTCACTGAGCAACCAAGCACCCAGCTTCCTTTCCCCACTAACAAAGGGAGAGTTGCCTCCATGTGAGCTTTCTCTAGAGCAGCGGTTCTCAACCTTCCTAAAGCTGCGATACAGTTCTTCATGTTGTGGTGACCCCAACCATAAAGTTATTTTCGTTGCTACTTCCTAACTGTAATTTTCTACTGTTATGAATTGTAATGTAAATATCTGATATGTGACCCATGTGAAAGGGTTATTTGACCCCCACAGGGTCACGACCCACAGATTGAAAACCACTGCTCTGTAGGGTCACATGGCAGAAAGGAACTATGATGACATTGTGCCTGGGTAACCTGGTGGTACTCTGCTGTCAGGCCTCTGAGGGTCACATGCTGGTGTTTTTCTGTCCAGGGACATGAAAACACTCATGTCCCTTCCTGGTGAAACTCTTTCAAGGAATCCAAAGGCTGAGCCTTTCCCTTCCCCTTCCATCCTAAGCTCATGGTTTTTGTTTTGTTTTGTTTTGTTTTTTTGATAAATGAGGCTCCTTTCTATGATGCCCCCAGAGACTGTAGGTCACTGCTGTGTCCTCTCCGGTCTTACATCCTCCACTGACCTGAGCCAGAGCAAAACAGATAAGAAGTCTTTCTAGTTGCCTACCTCCTGGTGGAAGGACCAGCTAGGGGCGGGGGAGGGCAATGACAAACGGGGCTTCCACCAGAAGCTATTCTCCTACCTGGCAGTCCTGCAGGTAACCAAGTGCACCCCACCTCCCAGCCGCCCTGGGAGAGCTATCTACCGAATGGGCTGGGAGTTGACGGAAAACCCACCCTGCCTCGGTGCTCAGTCTCTTGTGTTCTGTGCCTTGCATAGGTTGCAGAATGAGACAGCAGCTCATGAAGTCCTTGAGAGCATCCAAAGCTACTTCAAGTCCCAGCCTTTTGATTTTAGGGGTGCTCAAATCATTTCTGGGCAAGAGGAAGGGGTGTATGGATGGATTACAGCCAACTATATAATGGGAAATTTCCTGGAGGTGTGTGGAAAGAAATGCATGGTTTCTTATCTCACCATTTATCCCATCCCTGTGGGTGATAGCGGAGGTGGAGGTCCTTGCTCAGGGGCATTCCTTCCATGTAATGCAATGGGGAAGCACTCAGGGACAACCGCTCAGGAAGGCATTTACATACCCGACCAAATGCGTGGATGAGGCGAGAAGTCGCATCACTTTGCTGGTTCTTAAGAAATTTGGGAGGGATCTAAATTGAACCCTGGGCTTCGGATGTTTAGAAGGGTAGCTTGAGGATGACCCTTCTAGGAGCCTCATAATCACCTGGAGATTAGAGTCCTCAATCTTTGTCTAGAATCCCCAGGGAGGAGTCTTCATTGTGTCCCTGGCCTCCTTACTGTGCCCTCCCTGCAGAGGACATAGAGACCACATCCCAGACTAGACTTTTGATTTCCCCCACAAGTATATTTTGAATTTTCAAATTAATTGGCAAGATTAATCTTTGGGAAATCTCATGAGACTCCACCCTGAAAGGCCATAGATGCAGTAACAGGGAACACATTTCCCTGCAGGTGTGTGGGGCAGCACACAACCAGGCCCTCCATGTGACACAAGCTCGTGAGCTGCATGCATTTGTGTTACCGATTTAGCTTATGATCCTCACATATGAGGAGAGCGCCCGCCCTGAGTGCTGCCACCCTTCCTAGCAGCAGGACTTGGAACTTGGGTGGAGAGCCCCGGCGAGCGGAGATGGTGTCTTCGCCTTTTCTTCTCACTTCTTTCCCACCATGCAGAGGAACCTGTGGCACATGTGGGTTCACCCACACGGAGTAGACACCACAGGAGCCTTGGATTTGGGAGGCGCCTCCACCCAGATATCCTTTGTGTCAGAAGAAAAGATGGAGCCGAATGCCAGTGACACGGTGCAGGTGTCCTTATATGGCTACACGTACACACTCTACACACACAGTTTCCAGTGTTATGGCCGGAACGAAGCAGAGAAGAAGTTCCTGGCGATTCTTCTGCAGGTACTGAGTGGGAGGGTCCGAGCCAGGGGAGGAGGTCTGCCTGGAGTGTCCATCCTCACTCCAGTCTGCAGAGTGGATAGAAATAACTTCATAGTCTCATGTGATCCTGGGTCTCTTCTCCCTCCCTCCCTTCCTGTCTCCCTTTCCTCCTCTGTTGGATTAACCACTTCCAGCAAATGTGAGTGAGAAAAACTAGGGAGGAGTGGACTTCAGTGATAGCTCGGTTGGGGAAATGCCTGGTGTGAAATCGTAAGGACAGGAGTTGGATTCCCTGGACAGGCATGGCCCGGTGTGCTGGTGCACATCTTTAATCCCAGCGCTTATGAAGTAGAGGCAGGAGAATCTCTGTGAGTTCAAGGCTAGTCCAGTCTACATAGTGAGCTCCAGGCCAGCCAAGGCTGCATAATGAGAAAAGGCCAGCATGGTGATGTGTACTGTAATGTGGGTGCTCTCGGGCGGAGGCAGGCAGATCCCTGGGCCTTGCTGCCCAGCCAGTCTGTCCTACTGGGCCAGTTCCAGACCCGTGAGAGAACCTGTTTCAAAAAGGAAGGTGTGGGGTGGAAAGGTGGCTCCACAGTTAGGAGGATCGGCTGCTCTGCCACAAGACAGGAGTTCGGCTCCTACCACCCACATGGTGGTCACAACAACCCACAGTTCCAGTTCCAAGGGGTCTGACACTCTTCTGGCTTCTGTGGGCACCCAGATGCTCACATGTGCATGTGTACATATGCATACAAACCCACACACACACAAAATAAATACTTAAAAAGGCTAGGTGGAGAGGCACATACTTTTGATCCGAGCATTCATGAGGCAGAGGCAGGTGGATCTCTGTGAATTTGAGGCCAGCCTGGTCTACAGAGTGATTCCAAGTAAATCAGGGTCACATAGTGAGATCCTTTCTCAAAATAATAAACAATAATAATAATAAACAACTTACTAAAAGAAATGAAAACCAAGTGGATGGCACTGGAGGAACAACACCTAACATTGACCTCTGGCCTCCACAGGTATGTGCACATATGCACCTGTGAGACTGCACACACACACACACACACACACACACACACACACACACACACACACACACACACACACACCAGGTCCTTATGCTTGAGCAGCAAACACTTTAGTGACTGAGCCATCCATCTCCCTGCCCTCCCAAACTGTTTTAAAATAAATCTTTATGATTTTTATTATCAGTCAATGTTTGATTCACCTGCCTGTGTTATACATGTATAGACCAGGTCATCTGAGAAGGTTCTTAGGATTCCCGCTCTCTGGCAGCAGTGTGCACTGTGCGATGGTGGCTCTCAGCCTCTCTTTTGGCATTGCAGGGTAGTGGTGGGGAGAATCTTCCAGAAGGAAACTGTTCCGTCTCACACTTCCCTGTCGTCCCTCCAGAGCTCACCCACTGGAACCAATATCAGCAACCCCTGCTACCCTCGGGGTTACAGCACCACCTTCGACTTGGGCCACGTGTTCGGCAGCCTGTGCACTGAGAAGCAGAGGCCCAAGAGCTACAGCCCCAGTGACACGGTCACCTTCACGGGAACTGGAGACCCACGGCTGTGCAGGGAGAGGGTGGCTTCTGTGTTCGACTTCAAAGCTTGCCAGGAGCAAGACGCTTGTTCCTTTGATGGCGTTTACCAGCCCAAGGTTCAAGGGCCATTTGTGGTGAGACCAAAGACCAGTTGGCAGGTGGAGGGCCTCTGCACCCCCGGGGAGTGCCCCTCCCTCCCCTTCCTTCCTCTGCCCTGCCGTCTTTATTCCCTCCCAGATAGCCCCCTAGCACACTCTGTCCTCTCCCAGGCGTTTGCGGGGTTCTACTACACGGCCAGCGCACTGAACCTCTCTGGAAGCTTCTCCCTTCCCTCCTTCAACAGCAGCAGCTGGGAGTTCTGCAGACGCACTTGGATGGAGGTCAGTGTTAGAAAAGAGAGTGAGTGAGCGTCAGGGCAGACAGTGCAGCAGACCGTGTGTGTGTGTGTG